ACAGATCCAAGGGACCGTCCTCGGGCACCAGGCACTCAGTGCGGCCAAGGCTGAATCCATCCTATCCTTCTCCTTCAGGAATTTCCTGTCTCAGTTGACAACTGAAGTTCTGAATTCTGCCCTCTGGGTTGGAAGCCTTTCCTTCAACTCCCCCGGTGCTCTGGCTGTGTCTCTATCATGGGGCCCTGGTCACTCTTTGAGGCTGTGCTCCACCAGGTAGTGAGCTCTTGGGATCTTATTCCCAATGTCCAGCACAGTAAATGTTGGTTAAATGAGAGACTATTGAGGTGCCACTTGTAACAGCAAAACGAATGGAAAACAGCAAAATCCATCCCTGGCGTTTTCTTTTCTGGTGCAGAGAGGAACAGAATGCCTCGTTAGACCAGCTAATCTAATAAGCAGAGAAAAAGGATGTTCTCATGAAATTATGCATTCACCCTCTGTCTCCATTTGCTGACATAGAGAATCCATCTAATTGGATTTTTCTCCTTGGGGAAATCTAAAGGGAATGGGTTTATTGCTGTCACATTTCCAACGTAGCCACTGTCCACCCACCTGCCTCCGCTTCCTCAAGGGACCTTTGACTTCTGGCCCCTTTTAAATTTGACGCGTGTCTCAGAAAGCTTCCACTGAGTGTCTTCTCAGTTACATTCACGGCTCCTTGGCAGGTCACGGCACCTAAGGAGGATATGAAGTTACTGGGGTTGGGAGGGGATAGCCCAAGACAAGAAGGGAATGTGCCTGCCGCATTCTCCTCAAATCCAACCGTTCGCACTTCCATCCCTCATACATCCATCCGTGATTCCGCGCGATGGGTCCTCACCCAGCACTTGGCACGGTGCCCCCAGCAGGCACTCAGTAGTTGGCTCTTGACCAGCTTATAAAGACAGCGCCACATGGTGGTGAAAAGTGGAAGCTCTGAAGCAAAAACAGCTGGATGCTAGCAGATGCAGCATGACCTTGAGCAGGTCCATTAACAACCTCCCTGTCTCTCCTCCTTGTTTAAACTGGGATAACCAGTATCTAACCCACAGAACCAGAAACTAAAGATAAATATAAAGGGCTTACTTAGCATGGTGCTTTGGCTGGAGGTGGGACCACATTGAGCAAAAAGCCTTCTTGTAGCTGAAATTCTTGATGGGATACAGACAAGCAAATAAACTGATGATTAAACAAAACAGGAAACCAAAGGGGTTCTATGATGCAGGGAACGGTGGTGGGGGTGTTTAAACTAATACTTGAAGGATGGAAAGGAGCCAGCCCCGTGAAAAGCCTTGAGGGGAGTGTCACAGGCCCAAGGCCGAACAAATGCAAAAACCCTAGGTGGGAGAGGGTGTGGACTGTTCTAGGAGGAGCCAGAAGGCATGGTGTGTTGGCTGCGGGAAAGTGAGACACAGGGGAAGTAGGTGTTGGGACGGTGAGGTTGAGAGCACCTGGGAGACCGTGGGATACATTGGGACCTCATTCCAAGGGGGATGGGAAGTCATTCAAGGGTTTTAAGTGGGGCACTGGCAGGACCCCAGAGTGGGACCGGGACACTCGGTCTCTGTCCGAGGATCTTCACAACCTGAGGGAAACGTGGAGGGGACCATCTGGCACTGAGACGAAATGGGAGCAGAGAGGGGAGGGGTTCTGTTACAGAGTGTGCGGACCACAGGCCCCCAGTTCCCGACCCCTCGGGGTAGTGTTGGCCAGGGGCCGCGGGGGCCATGCCATCGGCTTCCATCCGTCTCTTACCCGAGCCCCTCACGGGACACTGAGGCTCGAGAAGGCTCTGGATTTTCTGGGGTCTCATTGCTGAGCATCCGTCCTCACCGGAGCGCCCTCCCCCCGCACCATCTGAGAGGATGTGATACTCAGTGGTATTAATGCATCTGAGCTGTAAGTCAGGTTTCTTTTCTTTGAGAAAAACTCAAAAAGGGGTGTCATTCAGTGTCTTAGCTTAGGGGGACACCTTGGGCCGGCCTCAGGAGCCCCCATGTCACCGTTTTCCGTGCAAGGGGACATGGGACTGTACTTCCGACCTCTAGAGTTCTAAGTATGACGGCGACCGTAGTTGTGGATGAGTGACATTGTCACATTGAGAAGCAGTGGGTTTTTTCAGCAGAAATAGTCATGGGTCTTGCTACTACTGTACTAAGTCACGTTTTAAAACCTTATCATTCATTTTACGGCTGCTGACCGCCCCCCTCCCCATTCCTCTTGTCTACGAGTTTTCCGACTGTCGTCCACCGAAAGCTCATTTTCTCCAATCCCTGGCTCCCCTGATGGATTTCCCCCATTTCTCACCCGTGAAGGGAGTCATCTTCTTGGACATCCATCTAAACTAGTTTTCAGGTGGAAAGCCTTGAAATTCTCTCTCTTTGTTCTACAGATTCCTGGATGTGTTACTCCTCTTGGTGTTAGGTATTCATATACGTCACGTCCAAAATGAGGATCCAGCATTGTTAGGAATGGAATTCCTGGATTATTAATAAAATAGGAGATAAGTAAAACAAAATGACTATTGAACAGTAGAGAATCTAAGCAATAAAAATAATATAACTTAGATTATATTAAATTTTTTTTTCTCCTTTCTCCGCGATCTTGAAACTGACCAAGCCCCTTCCCTCACCAAGACCGCTAAGCCATTATGGGTCCCGTCCCACGCAGGTGATGCTCCTGGTCCTCCTCCCTGTCATCTATGCTCTGAGCATCTTCCACCTGCTGGTCTGCAGCTCTGCCCCCTGCCTCTCTCTGCGCCCATTTCTCCAGCGTGTCCCTTTATATGACCCCTCTTCACGCCCCATCTCTTTGCTTCCCTTCAGTTTCATTGAATTTCCCTGTCCTCGCCTCCTTGGTCCACCCCCAGAGCTGCCCCTGCCAAGGTCACCAGCCTCCCACCCGGAACTCTCTGTTGTGTGAAGGACGACCACCAACTCCTTCTCCAAACTCATCTCAGCCTCAGTGGCCTCTCCCACCTCCCCCGCCCGCTGTCCTTCTGCTATTCCTGCCCCTCCAGGCGGGGCTGCTGGCAGGGAGCCTGCCCCGGGGGTCCTGTGACAACTCAGAGGACGGACGCTTAGAAGATGGGAATTTGAGACCAAAAGGCAGCAGGGTGTAAACCTCCCCCCGCAAGATTGATCTCCTTCTGAGCGGAGGGAAAGGGGCGCGGAAGAGTCTGTGCGCTTTGTCAGCGAGTGTGAGAGACTGTCTTTGTTCTATATTTTTGGCACCTTCTTCCTGAACACTCGTTGTTAAGTAGAGCACAGCTCAGACCTGCTGTATGGGCCTAACTGATTTAAACCAGGCATGTCCTAAATATATCAAAACCCATATGAAACAGGGAGAGGATTCTCAGTCCTGGGCTTAGCTGGGAGGGGGTCTGGTAGGGAAATTGTTTCTCATCTGGTACATTTGTAGCATCCCCACTTCAGTTTCTTCCTGTCCATTTTTATCAGGACTCTGGTTGCAAAGCCCAACTCAAACCAGCTGAAGCAACAGATAGGGGTTCCTTGAGGACGGGAAGAGGGGAAGTGGACTCCCGAGGCACCTGGAAGATCTTCCCTTTCTGTCCTTCGTCACAACAAGTGATGGCTGTGACTGCCCCGGGCAGTGTCCTCCTGCAGCCAGGGACCAGGCTGAAGGCAGCCCTGTGTGCACATCCATGAAGCTTTGAGAACAAAGAGGAAAGGCCTCTTGTCTAGAAGCCCCAGCTCCTAGCATGCTGCAGGGAAGATGGGTGATTGGTTAGCTTGGGTCCCATGTTTATGTTGGGCCTGGGGGTAGAGTGACCCCTGCAGAACCCAGTGGTGTGAAATGCATTCCCTGGGCAGAGGGGCAGACAGCATTATCAATACACACTGCCCGTCCTGCAAAGTCTAGTATTTAAAATAACTCTCAACTCATTATTGCCCTAAAAGATAAAATCTAGAGATGTTTAGAGCCCTTCCCTGTCTCCCACCAGCCTGGCTCCCCAGATTCCAGACTCTTAGGTCTCCGGGCTTTGCCACCCTCTGCCTGGAATTCCCTCCTCCCCCCAGCCCTCCATTGCCTGGCCGAGGCCTACTCCATCCTCCGTAAAGCCTTCCCTTTTCGCTGCACTCCACCTACTGTGCATCGCTCACCCAGCAAGGCTCTCTTCCTGCGTCAGTGACAGCCATCCCCTCACTGTGTTAGGTGTTGTCTGTCACCTCACCAGGCAGTATCCTTATTTATCTTTATATGCCAGCAGCTAGTGTATCACCCAGCACATAGTAAGTACATAGGAAACCCCTGTTGCCATGATGGTAAAAAGAATAAAATATGCATATTACAAAAGAAATCACAAAACAGCTTAAAACCTAAATGAACTCAGGCTTTGCTCCTATCAGTGAAGACCTAGGAGATTGCATGTAATTTTAGGTCGGATGAATAGAGGTTTTGCTCCACTATTAGTTAATCTTTGAAATTCAGTATTTTATTGTGTCCAAAATCATTTTCCTCCCCTCCTCCACCACTGCTGTTAACATTTAATCATTGTTCAAAACTCTTCTTTGACATTTTATTATTGAGAGCTGGTTCCCTCACCTGCAGGAGAATAAGCAGAGACAAGGTGTAGAATAGTAGCCTATTATTGGAATCAGGTAGCTTCGCTGCTAACTCTAGATGGCAGAGCCTGGTAACTTCCAGAAATATGGTTCTCCCAACTCAGAAATCTGTGTGTGCTACTCATAGAAGGGTGCATGTGCGCGTGTGTAAACACACCTGCGTGTGTTGGAGGAATGAGGTGGGAGGGAGTGGGAAAGGAGTGTACTGTGGGGGCCACTGTGCAAAGTGCATGCATCTGAATCTCGCCTGCCTGAGTCTCCTTCTGATCTCGCTGGGTAACCTGAAGAGGTTAGTGGCCCTACGGGAGCCTCACGGGGTCACCTGTAAAGTAAGGAGGGAGTCAGATCCCTGCGATGCTGCAGCCTAGACATTCACGAGCAGCGTATCAGTGAGATTCTATGCTCATCTGTGTTGTTTTTCTTTTTCCGCAGAGGTCTCATTGCTAGCAGTTTCACGGAAACCCACTACCTGCAAGATGGCACTGACGTCTCCCTCATTCGCAATTACACAGTAAGCCCTGCGTGCCTGGACCACCGTGATGCTGTGCTGTCAGATCTGTGCTTAACCTCGGTAGCCGTTTTATCCTAAGCAAAGTCACATGCCCAGATTCTTCACTTAGACCCCAAAAGGATCTTGGGCATCACCTACTCTTTGGGCATATCTGTCATTGTAACACCGGAAAAACTTGGCCATGGCCAGGTATATGCCAGGACAGTCCTTAAAGTTACGGCTTTATTGCAGGCTGGCTTTGAAACCACCTGCCAGTGACTCTGGGAAACTAAGTTGGGCGAATCCCTCCTGGCAAACCACGCCAAAGTCAGAGATGGCTCGGCAAGCGGTCGTCCCTGGGCTGAACTCTGCTGCACTGAACTGGGAGGTTCCTTAAAGAAATTCAAAGGAAAATGGACACTGCTTAACTTTCCTATTTTAAATGTATCCACCATGTCAGTATCATTCTATATCATGGTTGTTACTCTGATGTGACATTGATCACCTCTTAGTCAGCTTCTGTAGTATCTGAATTTTATATGTAACTCAGACAAGGTGCTAATTTTACTTGTTCCTTCAACAAATGCTTACTGTGCTCAGCTGTGCACATGTGCATATGGACACTCAGAGGGAGCTGCTGCCCTCTGAGGACTAGAGCAGTTACTTGTTTTAAAGAGCTACAGGTATTTGCTTTAAAAAGAATGAACTTAAAGAAAGGCTGTACGTTTATAATTGAAGTGTTGTCAAGTAGCCATTTTGGTCTGCAGTAATTTCTCCCCTCTCTGCATTAGACCAACACTTTTCTTTATCACATGCTTGGCACTTACAAACTGTTACCTTCAGACTGCCAGCAGTATGGTGGAGTGAATCGATGCAGATCTCCCAGCCCAAAGAAAGCTTGAGGGTGAAAAATAAGCAGAGAAGAATTTTTGTTAATGCCTGGCCAAGCTCAAGAAAGTCACAGAAATCCCCAGGAGGTAGAAACAAATTGGAGATATAAGCTCAGAGCAGCAGGTTGGTGCACTGAGGTCGTGGGACCCCAGTGGGCTATTCCGGGCCCAGAGAGAGGACCCGGTGCTTGGGGATTGAGATAGGAGAAATGAACATCTGCAATTGGGGATCCCTAAAAAGCTGGGCCCCCAAAGAGGTGGTTCCTCTGTGAAAAACGGACAAGAAAAACTCCAGTCCAGAGAAGGGGCAACAGAGAGAATTGCCTCCATGCGTCCTGGATTGAAGAAAGATTTCAGAAATAATGGAGCAAGTGAAACCCCAGCTAGACTCACCAAGTGTTTGTTTGGCATGGGGTGGACTGGTGTCCAGATTTCTAATACCAGCATGGAAGTGGAATTCCCAGTCAATATATTGACCTCAAAACTGGTCCCAGATCAACAACCCTGGGTCCGCTGGGCCCAAGCTGGAGCCAACCCCAAGCACTTCCACAGGGGTGTTTCCGCAGCCCAGGTTACATGTTATTCCCGTATCAAAAACGAAGAAGAAGAAGAAGATTATCAAAGATGAGCCCAAAATCAAAATTACAAAACACACAATTAAAAAAAAAAAAGCCAGTGTAAGTGACAAGGGAAGCGAGAGAGTTAGCACCTCCAGGAACACTAGGTAATAGAAAAAGCAGAGAAAAATGTCAACTATTTTAAAGAGCACAGAAAAGGCCTAATAGAAATTCCAGAGTGAAAATACAGGCAGAAAAAAAAAAAACTAAAGCGGCACCAACAGTGCCCCTCTTCTGTTTAGGCCATCCAAACAGGAAGTTGGTTTATTGGTGGCATCGTGAAGGATCAGTTGTTGGTTTGAGAAGGCAGAGGGGACAAGGATACAAGTTTGTCCCTATTGAGTTTGTACTGGGACAGCCAAGTAAAGGTGTTCAGTGGACAGTCTGATATACGAGCCAGGGTACAGGAGAAGGATGGAGGTCTTCAAAAAAAGGAAGACCCGAGGCTCCATCTCAGATGCAAGGAATCGGTGCCCTGACTTCACCTAACTTTCTACTTTTTTTCTCTGTTTATCTCCTAGAAGGATCTCATTTAAAATGTGCTTTTAGACTTAGCAATAAAGCTCTCCTCACAGTGTAAATGGTCATCCCAAATAGGAACAGAAAAAAAAGACTTCCTAGAAATACTTGACTGTAGGCTCGAGTCCTGCACGTCTAGATGGTAGTGGATGGTCCTTGTCTATTACGGACTCTCTAGAGGATGGAAGATAAGCTTTCCAAGATATTTTAACAGCTTCATGTTTTCTGGTTCAATCTCTCTGACTAATTTCCTTTTCTTAGGCTTTTTTTTTTTTTGGTCCTTTTTTCTCAGTTGGGAAGAAAAATGCAATAAGAAAGAAGAAGAAATAGAGGGCTAGATGAGTGAGGGTCTAACAGCTGCTGGGTGTGTGTGGGGCTTGGATTGTGAAGGCTGAAGGCTGTAAATCCGGGCATCTTAGACAGCAGCCCGGATGGAGGGGAGCTGGAAGGTTCATGGTAGTTGTCTCTGTCTGGTGGGAGACTCCGTTTTCTAGGATTACTGTGTGGGTGGGAGGAGGGGCGTTACAGTTCCCTTCCTGCTCCTCTGTCCACGAGGTGATGGTATAGACGGGCAAGCATCTGCTTCACCCTCTGCTCACTCCCTCACTCCTCCCCGTGGAAGCATCTTCTCAGGGAGATGAGGGCAGGAGGGGGCAGGCCCTGTAACCTCTGGTCCCAGCTAATTGGGGAGCGGGTAGAGTCCCTGCTTTGGAGAGGCTGCCAGGCTAGCCTTGCTGTCTTCCGTCAGTCAGCGGTGGCTGAGCCTTGCCCGCCCCTCTGGGAGTATTCCAAGGAGCAGTCTTCTGCGGCCCCAGCCTCCCCAAGATGGGTCCCAGGGCGTGGCTCACAAGAGCAGGGCGGGGAGATGAGGGGAGATGAAGGTTGGAAATTGCAGGGAGGCTCCCCTCTGCCCTGACCTAAGTTGAACCCTCTAATGGGATATACCAGGAACCCTTTCTTTGGAGGTAGTTAAACTGATAGTGTGTTTTGATCTTCATTGGACTCTTTGAGTCTCTCTTCAGGTGAAGCAGCTGGAGGCTAGGTTATTGACACCCCTAAACCTTCGGAGCCAACCACATACACTGCTTTCATAATTAGAAAAACAATGACGTTTCTTGTAATCTGGTGGCTACCTTCCCCCATTCCTTTAGCGCCATTCTGAGCTGTCAGTCGTGTGACTGTAAAGATGAGGCGTGAACAGTCTTGTGCACTAAAGGCAACCCGCAGAGCTGGGCAGCCAGTCGTCCCAGCAGGGGCCCGTTAAGGGGAGCTGAGGGCCTGTGAAGGCCTCGTATTGTCTTTCGTGGTGAGGAGACACACACACGGCTTTGGGGGTTTAGTTACTATTGAATCGGGCTGGGAGACAAAAAGAAACGTGCTGACTCATCCCCTTTTCCCTGAAAGTCAGCACACAGTGAATTTCCCTAAATTTAAAATTATGCATAAAACAGGAACCACTTTCTGGCTATCTTTTTTCAATGTAGTCTCTCAATAGTCGGTGTGAGCTGGTTGACCAGCAGACTAGTGGCTGCTTCTAATTTTGGAACTGCTCCCTTTTATCTCTCGATCTTCCTGACAGGATGACATATTTGTGGCTTTATCCTTTGCTGGCCACATCTAAGGGAAGATGTTGTTTTATACTGTCTCTTCTAATAAGGCCTGTGGGAGATAAAACACATGACATTTATGCTATTTACACCCCAAAAGACAACTCTGGGAATGGCCACAATAGTCCTCCAGAAAGTCTCCTGAATATTGTCTCTGCTTTGATCCAAGAGCATCCTTCTTTGGGTGGGGGCGGGGGGAATCAGGCGGGATTAAGTTCATTCGTTTATTTATTTATTTTAATGGAGGTACTGGGGATTGAACCCAGGACCTTGTGCATGCTAAGCACACACTCCACCGCTGAGCTGTTCCCTCCCCTCCTCAAGAACATCGTTCTGTTGCATGCGTGTTAACTGAGCACCTCCACAGCGCCGGGCCCTGTGACTGCCGCTGAGAATACAGCGGACATCACAAACAGACAGGGGCCCACGTGGGGCCTGGAGGGAGGAGACTGGCGTTATTCCAGGAATTACAGACTTAATTAAAATCTGTGCCAAGTACACTGAAGGGCCTAATCTGCTCTAAGGGACCGTGGAAGGCTTCGTGGAGGAAGGAATGTGTGAACCAGGATCTGAAGGTGGAGGTGGCATGAGCCGGGGATGGGGAGGGGAAGGACATTGCAGGCTGAGTCCAAGCTTTACTTGGAAGTGGGGAAGGGTTTATAACTTGACAGGGGCCAGGGTATGTAGGACTTGGAGGCCAAGGTGACAATTTGGTTGTCATGGAAGAGTATGGGGAAGCCATTAAAAGTTCTCAGCCAAGGGGGTGTCATGACTAGGGATAGGATTTGAAAGACCCCATTGGCTGCAGCATGAAAGAGGGGAGACCCAGCAAGATGGAGCAGTTGGCTCTTGTGGAAGAGCCTCAAGCTCAGGTGAGAGGAGAAGGCTGTGAGGCCAGTGGCACGTGATGGGGAGAAGGAGAAAGGTCTGACGTTCTACACCCGAGCAACACCCAGGAGGGCGACATTTGTTGTGTGTGTTTCTTGTTGGAAAAATTGATGAAAACATTTGGTATAATAGCCATCTAAAGGAGACCAGCAGTGTTAACTGAGGCCGAACCATCAGATAGGTGTGAAATTCTGTATTTTGATCAAAAGTATTGTTTGAGTGACGTCCCGTTCATTTCCGTGGCAAAGTTTTCCCATCAAAAAGAAGTAGAATCTTCTACAGCTGCCTTGGACTGAACACATCAGGGCAAATGGATGTTAGGGCCATGCCCCATCTCAACCAGAGAGCATCTGGAAAGTGTGAAAAGATGGAAGCAGGAGGGAAGTCAGAGGTCATTCACATCTCCTGAGTGTTCCAGGTGTGAGCTAGGTCTGCCATCAAATTCTTTAAAAATGATTTAAAATGGACTTAATTTCCCTGCCATCCCTGTCACTCTGCCC